ACAGCTAGCAGGTGGTAATGCAAACTCAGACCTGTAGATTTAAAAGAAAGCACGGAACCTCAAAACTGCATGTGTCTACATATATAAATATATGTGAGCAAACATAGCTGCATGGTATGGCTTATCAAAAAAACTCAGCAACATTGTGATCAGTTTTAAACAATGAGCAAAAAAAGCTCCAATCCAAACGCTTTGAGGCAACATACAGCTGTCTTTGTACGCACAGAAATTATATAGATACATTTTTGAAGAATTGTCGTAGGAAAATACAGAATTTCACCAAACAGGAACACTTTTCTAATTTATAATACGACATCTCCAAAGGCTTACAATTCAGTAATTACTCAATTGTAAACATTCCCTGTATCTTTTAAGCTCATTAGTGGACCTGCTGTGAAATTGAAGTGTCATCCAACAAATTGAACAGATTAAACTGATTTATAGGGGGATTGATTGTAGTAAAATAGTTGATGAAAAAAACATTCACTTATTGTTTGTGATTTGGAAAGGCCAATCGGTTTGCAGTTCCGCTGTGGATGTTATAAACATTTTAACTAATACAATTAGAGACAAAAGGTCACCCGAGGGTGTAAAGCAGGTCAGTGTTTCGCGTCTTCCTGTGATTTAACTGCAAAAGCCATTTAAGGCGTGATCCCAATCAACCACCCAGTCAATGTTTAGTTAATTAGCTTGGGGCCTCCACAGTGACAGACAAAGATATCTGGCTGTGTGTGTGTGTGTGTGTGTGTGTGTGTGTGTGTGTGTGTGTGTGTGTGTGTGTGTGTGTGTGTGTGTGTGTGTGTGTGTGTGTGTGTGTGTGTGTGTGTGTGAGGCATGTCACCAAGGTTGTTATCCCATACATGGGATCTGTGTCTCCGAACACACTCTTTGTTGGCTAAGCAACATAAGCACACTGTTGTATCTCTAAAGCTTGTAAAAAGAGTGTGTGTGTGTGTGTGTATTCAGATGTTTAAGTTAGAGATGGGTGGTGTCCGTATATGTGTGTGTGTTTGGTGGGAGGTGGAGGGGGCAGCATCTTGAAAGGTAATGTGTAGGAAAAAAAAGGGAGGGAGGAAATTCATTTGTGGCCGGAGAACACAGAAGACAAATTGAGGAAGTGTTGTGCTAATGTGTAGGGGTCAGCAGCAAACACACACAGGTTTCTGACTGACTTCCACTTGGGTGGCCTGCTCTCTCTCTCTCTCCCTCTCTCTCTGTTGCTCACCCACGATCAGCCCTCAAGCCATGAAGCCACCCAGCTACTCAGCCAACCCCCCAACCCCGAGCTCACACTCCACCCCACCTCTCTGTGCATCTGGGTATGACTATGTAGCACACATTTGTCTCCGCCGTGCATCCTATCCATCAATCTGGGGAAACCGTTCTTTTTTTTCTATTTCTCTTACGGTACAGCAGAAGCAAAACCAATATATCTGTGTTCACAGAGGATGTCTCAGAAACAAGAATTTATGAAGGCCTTCAAGCTATCCCATTTCAGCCCTTAACACACATTTTCCCCATTTCCCTTTTATCCCTACAGTTGACAAGCCAATTCTTCAGTATGCGGAATGGCAGTGTCATACATAAATGCACAATTTCCTCAAATTCCAACATGACATATTTGGTATATTTGTACATTTGAGATTATAACCTAAAATAAACATAGCTCAGTTGGAGCCATGTTTGGCTGTGAAAAATGAGTTTTTAATGACTGACCCACCAATGGGTTACTGTTTATCCGTTAATGTTGCTGGCTTTAATTGAATGGAAACAGTTAAACACACCAAACAATTTGGCTGAACATGTTCTGTACCTAAATTATATTGTTTCTTTGTCCACTTTGTGTTACTACATAAATCAACGTTGGTCAAAGAAGGCCAAACACTTCCTCCCCAGCTTTATCTAACTCTGTCTAGATTATCCACAGACTTTACTTTGGACCGTTTTCATCATGTGTTCTTCCTCAGCAGGAAGTGGTTTCAATAAATCTATTGCCAGACGTTTGGATCTTTAGATTATACTGAGTAATTAAAAAAAACACTTTGAATATTGTGTGCAACACATATACCATTCAATTCACCTCTTATCTCTTAACATGGTGGCAAAGGCCAATATCTCAGAACAGAACACCTTAAAAACTTTATTCCACTATACTTGTGACAAGTGGGTAAATATCTTCTATCTAGATGATTTGGAAAAATAACAATTTAATCTACCGATTGCATTTTACTTTAAAAACTCTCTTTCTGAGGTAGATGTGAGTCAGTGTCAATATAACATGTCCAGAAGTGTCATGCATAATGCATTTATCTTGACCAATAGCACCAAATGTTGATACGTGTTGGGATTTTCCCCAACACACTTTGGGTCCCTTCCCAGACTCTGAAAATACTCTAATGTGAACAAGTCTTTCAATCTCCAGACTTCTGTCAACTTTTATGACATTAATGTCCTACGAAAGTGATGTCTTCATGATTCACTCTGCACACAGAGACAAGAAAACAACACGTCGAGCAAAGACACGGAGTAAGTGCAGGAAAAACAGATCTGACAGCAAAAAATAAAAAAGCCAATAAAAGTCACTGCAAAATTGCAAGAGCATCTTCATAAAGTAATAAGCTAGATGTTATCCTTGTTAAAACACATTTTGTGGGCAAATGTTCTTCCAACAAAACTGGTTGGTTAACTGATGATTATCTGTGCATGTTTTATTTCACAGATCACTTCTCTTCTCTCTGGGCTTAAGATTAGTTTGGGATGCATAATTAGAAGAAATTCCTCTGTAAAGATGTCAGAAAATTCCACACGGCTACAAACCCAGAGAGCGACAGACAGCCTGACACATGATCTGTGGCTCGACATCTGATCTCCAGATCTGCAAAGCAAACATGCACATTTTGTGTACGCATGTGTGCACACGCATGCATGCATTCACTCAAAGGGGTGTGAGCAGGCATTGATTAGTTTGTGTGACAGAGGATTAACAATGGTCACACAGGTATGCCGGCACACATGTGTGCACATACACCAGCAAACACATGTATGTGCTGGAAGGCAGGCTCAGCCATGGCGGCGTTGTATTGAGGGTACTCAGGGGTCTTTGAGTAAATATACAAACCTCTACCCAAACACACCCGGCTGCCAGATCTCATCATGTGGTTGAAGAGAGAGGTCAGAGTGTGAGACCGCTAAAAAGGTTAACACAGCCAAGACAAAGAGCACGGACAAAGTGAACCTTAACTGTGGTTTTCAGCATTTTCAGCTGACAAATGCAGTTTTTCACCTTCCATCTAGTCCCTCTTGTCGTCTGCAAACAGTGACTTCACTAGGTTGCAACATTACAACAAATACTAGCTTGAAGTGAGCAAGATACCTACACAATATGGTATCATCAAATGTACACATTGAGAATTAAAAGGGAACAATGCAACAGGAAAGGGAACAATGATGTTTTTCAGTGAGCTGAATCCACATGTAGAGTAAACACGGTGAGAAGACAACTCGGCGGTGGGGCCACAAAAACAACACTTTGTTTATTTAGCAGTTCATCTTTTCAACCTGGGACCCATGCACATTTCTGGAATGTATTCACGTCAGGAAACCAGTCTAACTAACCATCATCCTAACTGTTTCTACACAGACATTTGTATTCTGAAATGTACTTGTGAATGATAACATGTGCATGTCACTGCCAATCCAACTTAATAAATAGAAACCAAATATGTTCCTAAAGATCTTTTTGTTTTGTTTTCTAAGATCTTTGGATTGTAGGCGGAGCTGTCCCACCACACGCACCACACAATTTAAATGTTTACAGCTGTGAGCAGCTTTTCCTGCATTGCGTAAACAACACACACATGAATCAAACTTCGTTGCAGACCAGGTAGAAAAACGTTGCATCCTTTTCCAATAATGACTTCAAACTTTAACCCAGGATGTCCAAAGAGAAATTCAGTTGGGGATCCAACCCAAAATAACCATGATGACATCATTTTTTAATTCCCCTTTGAAGGTCAAAATTCGTAAAGAGTGACCGATTTCTTCTTCAAGAATATCTTATGTGTACTTCAAAGACAATCAACAAAGTTGTACTTTCAAAGACTTGGGGATGAAAACACAACTTTATGAGTTAATGAATATAAACATGAAACAAAGTACGGATAAAAGCACAATAGTAACGGTCAACTCTTAAGGAATAATCCTAAATAGCATCTCACTGACAGGATAACAAGCACATCTAATGGACAGTGGAGATGGAAAGTAATGAGACATCATAATCTCAGACTCTCACACACACACACACTCACAGCAACATCACGTAATCAGGCCACAAGAGACAGTCTAAATGACTCCTGTAAGGCCACAGACACAATAGGAAACAGAGGACAGGATCTTACACACACGCACACACCAGATACATCCCTGTCCTCATCTTCTTCCTGCGTGACTAAGGAACTTCAAACCTGTAATTTAAGAAATGCTTTGCCGAAGGAATGCAATAAATCTTGTGACAGCAAAGCGAGAGGGAAAGAAGAGGAGAAAAAAGGAAGAAAAGTGTCAGGCGCGAGTCAGTTTTCTCCTCTGCTGTGTTTGTGTGAGGGCGGGGTGTCGGTGTTAACTGATACAGGATCAAGCTGGGTGGTCCGGGGCCTACACATACACCATTTTTGTGTACAAATAAACTTAACCCCCACGCCATTGTGGTCACCGCTCCCAGGGCTTTTCCTCCATCTCTGGTCGTCACAGCTGCACAGTGTGCACGCTCACACCCATGCAGAGTCTCCTCCCTCCCCAACAGGGTCAATTGAGTCCTGCCATTAAAGGAGACAGTAACAGTGTGATAATGACTAGTGTGGCAAAACAATTATAAAGATCTTCCTGGTAATTCATGGATTTCTTCCGGAGTGTGAGTTTCTGAAGAAATGAAGTCCCATTAAGGGGCTTTCCCGAAGAAGATTAAGGAAATAACACAAAACAACAATAAAAACCAACATGCTGAGTCATGGTTTTAATCACTTGTCTTTATTTGGACACAATGTACAAAAGAGCCGATTAGAAGAGAGTGTAGAATTGTGAAGCTGCAATCCAGGCTTCTGATTGGTTAGTCAGCCGATGAATTGCTTGTCCTCTGTGTTTCGCTGCACTCTGATTGGTTAATGAGGTGATGTCACTCTATCTCCATGGGAGCTAGATCTCCATCAGCTGGTCCGTTCCAACAATCACCTCGTTAGTCCTCTCAGCTGAAGAACAGAGTATAACATTATAACATTATATAACATTGACAATTATAACATATATAGTGAAAATATTATATATAAGTGTTCATGTTGATCGAAGGGTTTAGAAATCTGTATGACTCATACTTATGAATCAATATTAAAAAAAAATACATTTAGATAACTAAAGAACTTGTGGTCAACAACTAATAATGGTAAAAAGCATGTAGTGGAAAAAAGTATTCTGTCACTTTTATCTTGAAAGGTCAACTCTTGAATGTTGGAGTTTTCAAAGTAAATCAACACGGTTTCAAGAGAGACCTTTGATTGCAATTGTATTAAAATAACCGGATGACTAACTTTTAGCGATTTTTAAGGCACTAAAGTGTTTACTCAAATGAGACACCCTTTAGGTCATTTGATACCATACTTAATCGAATGGTAAACAATGGTTGCCCTGACCGTTACCCCTGAACCTCACAAAAAGAAATAGATGATGCATGAAACTGCGTCTGCCAGCATTTCTCCCTCAACCCAGAGCTAGTTCAGCATGAGGAGAGCAGACGCTGCTCCTCGCTCCATCCCTCCATCTCCGAGCATCGCTGCTGGTCCAAAGCAAACGGTGGCAGGGAGAAATGTTCCATCCACACAGACAGGTTTTAGTGTGAAGGAATCTGCAGCTCAGAGCAAGTTTATGCTCTGCTGCGTGGAGAGGAGGACAAATGGAGCATGGGACAGCAGGAGAGGGGAGGAGAGGGAAGGAGAGGGAAGGAGAGGGAAGGAGAGGGAAGGAGAAGGAGCGACTGGAGAGAAAGGGAGGAAGGGTTACACATGTTCTGTCTGTTGATTCATCAGTTACCTATACAGTGTTTAAATGCATAAGGATGATACAGGTGTAACTGATTTTGTTGTTTAAGTCTCCAGCTTTATGTATTCTGGCTCTTTGACCATATTATTGTGATCGAGCAACTACGTTTATTGTTCTGTCTGGCTCCATCCACAAAATATAGGACTGTATCAAGACACCGGATTAAAATGGTCCTTTTCTTTCATCTTTACTGGAGGATTTTTTGTGTTGATGATGTTTTATGTTGTGCAGCTCTAACTCCCACCCAAATAGAATAGAATAGAATTCCTTTATTGTCATCGCACCAGGTACAACGACATTTAAAAGAGCAATCCTCGCAGTGCATTTCCACATAAAACGAATACATATATATCTATATAAACATATGCTCACACATCCATACCAACATACATGCCCGCACATCATTTAAATACAGTTTACAATATAAAAAACACAGGGATGATATTTTGCATCTCTGATGTCGATCAGTTAATAACTTAATAAAACTATTAAAAAGTAGTGCAGTTGCAAGTTGTAACTGTTCAGTTCAGCGTTTGACGGTGTTCAGTTCTCGTATGGCTCTGGGGTAGAAACAGTTTTTCAGTCGGTTTGTCCTTGATTGAATTAACGTCAGTACTATATACAAATAGTGGTGGCGCAACGCCGCTGCTGAAATATGCGCGCCGCTGCTAGGGGGCGCCAGCCAGGTACCCAGAAAAAAAAAAAAAAATGTTTTTTACTTTTAATTTTTGTATTCAAATAATAATAAGTGGCGACCCTTTTTCATTTTTGATTGTTTGTTATGTGGATTTGTAGTATTGTGTTACTGTATGTTCAATAAAGGTGTATTTTCGCAACATTTTGAGACATTGCCACTGTATGTACTGGCAGGGCGCCAGATCTGGGGAGGGGAAAAAACATTTTGGACCGTTGGCGCTCATCCTAATTTTCGACCTTGATGTAACAACATTCATAATTAAGTAAATGTAACACCCTTTTCACCCCGGTTACACTTTTCATTTGCCCTGTACGATGGGCGCTGTAAGAGATGAAAGTGGGGGATGTTGGCTCATCAGGCGCCCGCAGCTCACAGCCAAAGTGCGAGCGTGGGAGCGAGACAGCGAGGGAGGGAGAGAGAGAGAGAGAGAGAGGGCGCACCGGTACCGGCGCTGTTGTTATTAGAATCTGGTGCTAGCTGCGCTAACAGATATAAGAAGTAAATGTTTCTACAACCAGGGTGGAGGAGAGCTCTCCTGTCAGACTGAGAGGCTCACTGAGTGTTTAGATAGTTAATTTTAGTCTAAATTATCTCAGTGGGTCTCAAACAAATATGTGTTTACAAATTATGTAAAACATATTTCCAAGGCACTCCTTTATAATCATTAGGATAAATAAAAACAGGTTTGAAATCATTCCAATGTATACTATAGGACAGCAAACCAAAAATATCGTTTAAAGTTGGAGAGATACAAAAATATGCATAAATAAATAAATGTTAACTAGGTAAAATAAGATATGAATGAACAACAGAAATAAAATAAGTTACATTTATTTGTTATTGGCTATGGTAGGTTATTGGTTATGTTCATATACTTATTTGATTAATAAAATGTAAACGGATCTTTTTCATATGGGTGTTTTAGAGTTGTACCCCCTAGATCAGGTCTCTAGTAATTGTGTGCTCAAAGTGCACCAGATTGAAGCATTTTACTTTCAAATGTTCAAAAAAATCTTCCCGGGGGGGGCATACCCCCGGACCCCTAGAGGGTATGACGTCCACCCCCCAATTCAAACATGTTCATACAATAATGAATACATTTGAAGCCATTTTGACGTATATTACCTATGTTAATAAGTTTCTGTTTTTGTAGTGTATTTGTCTTTTGTAGAGATTTTTCATTTATTCTTTATATATCAAATCTTACCTAAAATCTTGCCTAGAGCAGCAAATTGTCTAGAACCGGCCCTGGTACTAGGCCTCAAGAGCCTTTCTTGTGCTGGCAGACACATAGAAACAAATTGGCGGGGCGCACTTCGCACGTGCACACACTCAAATATTCCACGCGCTCCACACTCACATTATGCTGGGCCCACGTGCCTTAGCACCGCTGCTATGACTCCATCCTAGGGGAAACACTGCTAACGTAGAAATGTTTTTTAGCTAACCAACAACAGTTGATGGTCAAGAGACATTGGGAAGAAGTGGAGAGACTGTATATCTCTTATATACAACTATAATGTATGCCCACTGTTTTAACGCATGCATGTGTGTATCACCAAACCACCCAGAGAAGAGGTATGTATCTTTTAAATATCAACACCTGACAGACCTGAATTGTAGTGTGTGTGAGTGTGTGTGTGGCTAACTAGCAGGGTGGTCTTAGCTGCTAACAGCTTCAGCAGTTGAGAGGGTGTGTAATGTCTTTCGCAGCCTATGGTCAGCCGTCTAGATTAGTAGCGAGAGACAATCCTATGCTTTCTTACAATACCATGTAAAGTCAACAGCAGGGCAGGTTTAGTCATTACAGAAATATATCATATAGATTCATCTGATCTGACCTGATCTATGTTGCTGAACAGATAGGTGATTCTACCGCAAAGAGGCCTGATTGGGAGAAGTTCACAGTGATCGACATATTTTTAAAAACAGCAATGTCAACTTATTATAATTGTATCAAAATAAAAAATATAATTATTATTTGCAGACAAGAACAATTGAATGTACTCTACAGAAACATTAAATTGACCATACAGGGCCTACGATCCAAGATTATCATAAAGGGTGAAACGTTTTGTATGTTTTTTTTACTTCTTTCTTCCTCCGCTCAAGGTGACATTTATTTTGATATCCTCCATATGTGTTGGTATGCATGCGCCAGAAAGCGATTGCCAAAACCACATTTCTACAATTATGAACAACTCAGCGATTCATGAACCTTTATGGTAGATCCTCTCTTCGGGCGTGGAATTAAGGTTGCTCTTCTATTGCTCTTTCTGAGGTGCCTTTTTTCTTTCCTGTATCCAACTTGAGAATAAAAGACTGCTGTATGCTTTAGTGTAAAGCCCTCCGGAAAAAAACTTGTGGGTTTGGGCTTTTTTAAATAAACTTGACTTCACTTATACACTATATACAGCAGATCCCTTTTAAAATGTATATTTAAGGCACAACATAGCTTTTTATAAAATATAATCAAAAGAGAGAAAACAAACAATGTGTCTGCATGGTCAGAGACAGAGACTTCCTGTCTACAAGACACACAGAGGATGGAACGTCGCAATTGTGTAACTGAACTTTGGCTGTACAGTGTAAGAAAAACAATTATGTAAGCAGGGGTCCAAGATTCAATTGTTCAATAACATAAAGTAAGCATCTTGTGGCTGGCCAGCGGGAAAACATTTGCCAAAAAAAGCTAAAAGGAGATCCGTTTTGATGCAGCGATCGCTCACTGAACGCTGCAGAAGGTCTCAAACATTTCTGAGGTGAGTTTAGCTCAAATTCACACTGTTGCTACTTAGAGTACCCTGTTGTTCACTCAATTAGGCTGCTCAGTCTGGTAGCTGAGCTCACTCTCTTTCTCTATACGTTTGTGTGTGTGTGTGTGTGTGTGTGTGTGTGTGTGTGTGTGTGTGTGTGTGTGTGTGTGTGTGTGTGTGTGTGTGTGTGTGCGTGCGTGCGTGCGCGTGCGTGCGTGTGTGTGTGCGTGTGCATGTTGGATGTGGCTGGAGGCTGCGGCTGTTGAATTCCGGGTGGTCCTGTTCTGGCCCTGCTCTCTAACCTCTCCATCAATGTGACACACACACACACACACACACACACACACCCACACACACACAGCTAGCTTTGGGGACAAGAGGATTAAGGCGAATAAAAAAAATCTCTGACAAATCTCTCTATCACACAGACCTCAGCATTAAGAAACGTTCCTGGTTGGCTTGA